CCCGCCTCCACCTCTACCCCCGTCCTCGATCTGCTGGTGCATAGAGGGGCGTGGTGTGGGATCTGCAGCCTGAGAGCTGGAAGCGGCAGTGGCTGGCTGTTTGCAGGCTTTTGCTGTCCTCTGCAGGACAGTGCTGGAAATGCACTCACTCTGGACCTTCCTCCCCTCTTCCAAGGACACGCAGGCCCTCTTCAAGTGACAACAGTAGATGCCCTTACGTTGCCTTGGGACATCGTGACTATTTAGGTGACCCTGGGGGTTTTGCAAGAACCTTTTCTTTTTGTACCACGCATGCTCGAACACAGGGACTGCACGAACCCAAGAAGCTATCTCTCCTGCCTTTCCAAAGGAAGTTGGAAAGGTTGCCAACCCAGCCGGCCCCCACAAGGCTCCGCGGGGCACTGTCTTTCCCAGGGTGTGTGCCTGAAGACCAGCCCTGTCCACAGGGGTCCTGAAGCACTCAAGGGGGCAGGGATGCGGTGTGACTCATAAAGGACATCAAGAGAGATGGATGACATGTGGGCCCTCACACAGCAGCTGCCTGGGGACCAGAGGCGAGAGGCCTGCAGATCAGCCTCATCCAAGTCCCCTAGATAAAACCATGTGGACAGATGGACAGCAGGAGGCCTGGACACACCTGTCTTCCCACCAGGTCCTGTACCAACTGGGACATCAAGCTGTCCCATCCAAGATGTCCAGCAGCAGGGCCCACACTGTGGGGCCCACATTGAACAGGACAGTGCCCTTCTGTCACCTGAGTCAGAGGTGGTGACCCAGCTGAGCGGCATCCCATGGTCATGGTGGGCGGGAAGGTGAACTGGGAGCTCCAGTTCAGACAATCTGCCCAGGGAGTGCTGCTCCTTTAAGGGCTGCAGGTGGGGACCTGGGGCCCAGACATGGCTGAGTGACCTTTCTGCTGGTGCTAACTGGGGCCTCTGCCTCTGCCAGGCCTGACGGTGCTGCTTCCAGTAAAAGGCGTCTTCTGGCAGCCTTCCCGGTAGCAGCTTGTTGCTATTGTAAATCATAATAAGCTGATTGATTATTGCAGCACTTATTCTGAAAAGAAAATTTCCCAAAGTTGTTCGGGCGGAGTTTGGAGAGGCCACGTGGTTAAGCCGAGCTCCTCTAGGGGGTGGGCTGGCCTCCCCTGGGACTCTGTGCATGGCAGGTCAGGTGGGGCCCCTTGCCCCCCCCCCCCCATTGCTTGCTTGTGGCGCAGAATCACAGGGTTAATTCTGGGATGACCCCTGGCCTTACTTAGTATCAAGAACTGAGAACTTTACAAAGACGGGCATGGTTTCCACGTCCTTTATGCATCTATGAAAGCGCCTGGGTGTGGGTACATCCGTCCTGCAGCTATTCAGCACCACCACAGGCCGCTGCTGCCCGCCCTCCGTCTGGCCCCCTGGAGCTGGCCTGCCTCTGCGCCAAGCTGCTGGTTAACATTCGTGTCAGTGTTTCCATTATAAAATGCTTTATTCCCTCCAAGAATATAGAACCAACTTTTACATTCCCTTCAGCCCGGCAGCAGGCTGGCAGACAACGTTCTGTTTATTCCATCTCAACAGAGGGGCTCAAAAGTCCCATTTGGGTTCCCAAAAGGCTCCAATGGCACCCTGCTGGTCTCCCCAGGGCCATGCTGGGCAGGATACACGCTGAGGCCCACTCAGGGCAGTCTCAGCTGCTGGTTTTGGTTCCTAGAGGTCAAGTCCTGGGGTGCAGGGCTGGGGGCTGGGACAGACTTAGGCCAGGGCCCTGAGAAGCCTCAGCACTGGTTCCTGGGAGAAACATGGGAGCACAATCCCAGACTACGAGCATATCTGGGGTCAGGAAGATAAAAAAATCGCAACTTTAAAAGGCTCTTTTGCACAAGGTGCTCCTAAAACCTGGGAGACCCAGCCACCCCAAGGGAAGGGAGATGAGGAGGAATCTCTAGTCACAAGTCCAAAACGAATGCAAGGCAACATGTCAGCCCAGTTCTAGAAAAAATCCTTAGTAACACTTTTTAATGTACAAGAATCAAAAGTACAGCAGTTTTACAATGTAGGAAAATTTAATACATACTATATAAACAACTTTATTTACATCAGAAATCACTAGGACAGTGGCATTTTTTTTTTTCACAAATATAAATTAATCACTGTTTAGTTAACAGGTTTTTAAAAGTCCACAATTTTACAATAAAGGAAAGCCATCTGTCCCCAGTGGGTGGGGAGCAGACAGCAGCAGCCTGGCCCCTCCGGGCACGCACGCGCGCCCCCCCCCCCCCCCCCAGCACCTCTGCCGCCAGGCGGCGCTGCTGGCGCTGGCTCAGCCTCCGCCGGCTGGTTTGGTCTGTGGGTTGCAGACAGTGTGGGTTCGCAGCCTCATCACAGCTGCACCACTCGTCCCGATGCCCGTGAGGCATCAGGCTGGAAAGTCTGCTGAAGCGCTCAGGGCCCACGGTTCGTTCCCATTACGGGCTGAGGGAGGCAGGGAGGGGCAGCCCCTGGGGACGTGGCTGGCGGCTGTGACACTGCTGCAAGCATGGGGGGAACCGGGAGCTTCACATTCTCCTTTCATGGGGCTACAGTGTCGGGTTAGTCCCTGATCATGTTCAGGTCCTAGGTGACACCAACTGTCCTCTCCAACACATCCACCCAACAATCACACCTGGCAAGGCCAGGCCCATGCAACACCAAGGATTCCTGTGGTAATTTCTCCCCCACACCAGGATTTCCGTGTTTGTGAGAGGATTTCTACCTGTGCAAATTTCTGGTTTTGATTTAAGCATAATTTTCATACTGATTCAGATTATTGAGGAAATGTTTCCTTTCCTCCAACCCAGTCTTCAGACACTAACACCTGCAGTCTGATGGGGATCTGAGGGGGATACTGTAACTTCTGAATAATGTTAACACTGATCTGGTTCATACTGCCTTTTGCTACATCATATGGCACTATAAATCCTGAATGTGAGCAAAAGGAAGTGCCTTTCTCCTCATGATGGGATTATCTTTGGGCATAATTTACATCTCCTATCAACAGCTTCAAAGAAAAAAAATAAAACCTGTTTGTTAAGTGCTGGGATGCACTGCCAGCCTCTCCCCTCTGTCTATAGGACAGGCCCTCGTGTAAGACAGAGGACGCAGGCTGACGGCCACAGGGGAAGGGCTCTGCCCTCCCCCACAATGAGTAAGAAGCTAGCTTTGGGCTTAGACAAGGCAAGCATGGGATAGTGTCTAACATTCGTGATTTCATTATCACTTTCTGGCCAAAGCAGAGTCTTGTTAACCTCCTGCATCCTCCCTTCTGCATTCACAGTAGTCCCTCTGAGGGGATTTGCCCAGGTGGCTCCACTCCAGGACTACCTCAAGTCCCACGGGAGTTAAATGTGGGGGCTGGGGAGGCTGGGAGGATAGAGGCGCACTGAACCTCTAACAAGGACCAGTGCTCATCTGGGACCTCCTGCCTGACCAGCTCCTGCCACTCCATGTAGCAAGCAGTGATACCCAACACTCCATGTAGCAAGCAGTGATACCCAAAGGCCACATCTGCTTCACCAGGGCGATTTAACTCTGAGTTCCTGGTAAAGGTCTTAGTGGCGCTGCCCAGACTGCCAGCAAGGGGAGTGATAATGGTGTTAAATTCCCACAAGTTAGTGCAGGGAGTTGAACTCTGTGGAGACCCAGTGGAAGGGCTTCTACCAGCTCCCAGCCTGGACGCCTATGGCTGGCAGGCAGAAGTTCAAGACACAGGCACACCATCTATTCCAGCCAGATAGTCTCTCTCCATCTAGAAAGGCCTTTGGACACAAAAGGAAATACTGGCAAAGCTGTACTTTAAAAAGCTCCATAAACGGGAGAGTTCTTTAGGAAAATCCTACTCTCCCCACTGAATGGATGCAACCATCTGACTTCCCAGATCTGACTTAATTCAACTCTAGTACGACTCTTTAACATGAACATTGGCAGCTCAGCCACCCTATCCTGGGAGGTTTCTCAGCTGGGATTAAATTAGGTTTACTTGTTCTTGTTTTTCAAAAAAACAAAACCAAGAACGACAACAACAAAACCAACCAAAAACTGAGTGGAAATTTAACAGCGATAAAAACCTGTTCATCACAGGTGAAATTACTTTCCTTTGACCGTATCAAGAGATGTGTGATTCTGTATCATCTGCTTCAAGTTGTGCAAAGAGAACTAAATGTAAGTGCTGACCTACAATACTGAAAGCTCCCCGCTGGCTGGCACGCTTGCTGGAAAACCTGTTTCGTCTGCACTGGTCCCACTGGCCTCCTCTGCTCACCACAGGATTCGGAACTCCACCAGGGACCCCAGTTCTCAGCCTTACCAGCCTTGCCCTGGCCTCAGGCTACCTCTCATCCTGTCCATTCCCCACCCAGGTGAGGCCCATGCTGACGTCAATGTCAATGCTGCCTAACTCGCAGCACCTACAGTCAGCCAGAGGGACTCGACCTTTCCTGGCACAGAGGGAAAAGGAAGTCCACTCGGGAAAGCAAATCCTTGAAATGGATAAAGACGGTGGGGAAAATTAGTGTTGGCAGGAAGAGGCCATGTGGACGCTGTGGCGCTCTCTTGACGTCCTCTTCCCTTAGGGATTTCACCTTAAATAAGTCCAAGTATCTTTCTCCCAAGAACACAGTTAAGGGGCATACCTGCTCCCCTTCAAGTCCTATGATGCAAGAACCCAACAACCCCGTGCCCCACTCCCCACTCCCCCTCAGCAGCAATAATCTTATCCTAGTGAATCTAACCACACGCGGCCAGCAGGTCCTGGCAGCCTCACTCACGCGCTCCTTCCCCTCTGATCATCACACCAAGTCCAGGGAACACTGTCCTGGTGAGAAACCATTCTTACACCTAGGATCCCTGCCTCCTTTGCTGGGTAACTAACACCCCAATCAAGGGGTACACAAACAGTCCCCGCTCCTCCTAGCACCTGTCAGTGTGGGGGCCAGAATGAGGCTGGAATGGGATTTGGTGCCAAAGTGCAGGAGTGGTGACCCAATGAGATCTGGGCCGTTCAAAAGCTCCACATGCTGGCGCATTCCTTCCACCAGTCAGCTGATGGCAGCAGCAGGTCCAGATATACCAGTCACAGCGCGGGATAACTGACTACTGCAGAATCAGACCAAAAAGATTCAAGTTGGCGGCTCCATGACTTCTCTCCCCTCTTGAAGTGGTCCTCTATGTCTTCCGAACACTCCAGTTATAGTCTGGGTTGTTTTTCTGTTCTAGAGATCTCTCCAAAGGAGACCTGTGGTCCAGGGGTGACTTGGACTCATGAGGAGACTTCTGAGAAGGGGGTGAGCGAGGGTCAGACACTGCAGGGTGCAAGGGGGGCAGAGGCTGCTTATAGTCCCCTAGTTTGTCTGTGTGGAAAGAACGGTAATGGTCTGAGGGTCCTTGGCCATGGTAGCCCATAGGTGGGCGGTGATCTGACATCCGCCGAAAATCCTGCTGGTGGTAATTCTGAGGCCTAAACTCGTCGGATCTCCGCCTCTTGGAGTCATGATGGTGCCTGAAAGAGAGACAGATGGATCAGCTGAGTGACTGCAGCCACCCACGTTCCCAACCACATTTTCAGTGGACACTGGTCCTTCCTCATTTGTGCTCATTCTGGGATACGCAGAGTGGACAAAGATGCAGACGTGCACATTACCAGGAACCAAGAACACAGACCTACAGTAGTAACAAAGGGCTAGTTTATATTATTAGTCCAAATACACCCTAAAAAAAAACCAAACACGACCCCACAAAATGCCATGAGTCAAGCCTGCAACAAAGCAAAGAGAATCTTGAGTGCCTGACGGCTTGTTAACTCACGCTCTCCTCAGGAAAAATCTGGCAAGATCTTTAAATATGTTCCTATCACATTACCCAGTCTAAGATGGAAAAAAAAAGCCAGAGAAATTCTTTAAGTTATTAGAGGAAAAGGCATGATCATCCTAAAAACTTGACAACAGAGGAAGGATGGGCTGGGTTTAAAAAACCACCAGTGTGCAGAGTATTAACTTTTTTTAGCTAGGACTGTGGTAAATTGCTTACTATGCTATTAGAAGAAAACAAAACAACATAAAACCCAATTGAAAAATGGACAAAGAATTTCAATTAACATTTCTCCAGAGAATGTAGGGGGAAAGCCAGTAAGTGCATGAAAAGATGCATGATATCCTGTAGTCATCGGGCAAATACTGATCAGGGACATGGCACTTTACCTCCACCAGGATGACTGTGTTTTGTTTTGTTTTTTAAAAAAAAAGCTGAAAACAAGAGCTGGAGAAGACACGGAGAAATCAGAACACTTGGTCACGGGCTGTAACATGGCAAAAGTGCTACAGACAACTGGTGCGACAGGCTGCCACGCTGCTGCTGTTGGTGGCTGTCAGGTGACTCACAGTGACCCCTACAGACAGGCTGTAACCTTTATTAAGCAGAAGCTGACACCCATATCCTCCTCCCACAGAACAGCTCGTATATTCAAACCAACCTTTGGCTTAACCATGTGGTACTAGGGTCCCTGGTGGTGGAGTTGGGTGCCATCGAGTGAACGAGGACTCGTAGCAATCCCATGAACAACAGATCTGAACCTTGCCATATCCTGAGCCGTCCTCCTGATCGCCGACACGCTCGAGCCCATTGCTCCAGTCAGTGTGTCGACCCAGCTTATTGAGGGTCTTTCTCTGACCTTCTCCGTCTTTCCTAGTATGGCATCCTTTCCCCAGGACTGCACCCCCCGCCCCAACAACCTCCCCAAGTAAGTGAGATAAAGTTTCCCCACGCTTGCCCCTCAGGAGCACCTGGCTGCTATGATCTAACACGTTTATGTTCAAAAGAACTGAATGCAGACACTCCAACTAGAACATTCAGGATCACTGCAGCATAATTCACAACCACCAAAAATGAAAGTAACACCCTGAAGAAATGAGTCGTGAGGACACAGGCCAGACCATCGTCTGGAGGGAAATCAAGGTCAGCTGGAGGAACACAGTCCACAAAGACAAGGTTCCACATCCTACTTTGGTGAGCATCAACCACCATCTAAGGTGTGACTATTGGTCTCTTCCTGTCTGAAGTGAAGAAAATAAAAAACACACAGAACAATCGGTCCATGGTACTGAGGGAGCCCCTGAATCTTAATCTCCATGCACTGCTCATCACCCAGAAATGAATGGCGGAAGGGGGTCTCAAAGAGAGTGGGAAACAAACAGAGCTCAGATTGACAAAAAATGGACAAGTTTACTGTTCTGACAGAGACTGGTGGAATGCCAGAAAACCTTAGCTACCCTTTGAGCCTGGAAATGAACTCACCTCTGTGGCACAATTTGCAGCCAAAGTGCAATACACCAGGGAGGTACTTAGTCCTCAGAACAATCATGCACACAAACCAAAAGGGCCACAGTGTCCTAGGGAGGAAGCTCAGCAAGCAGGAAAGGATAGGACAGCAGGATGAATGGAACAAGGGCCACAGGGAGTACGCAGAAGGAATGCTGTCAACAAGGTACTAGAGTGTCGCACCATTAACCAAAAACTCCACGTCTGCCGGGTTCAAATCAAACAGCAGCTCCTAAGGACAAAGACGAGCGTTCTCCTCTCATTAATATTTAGTGTCTCAATGGAGACTCTGAGCCAGAATCAAATAATGGCAGTGGCTTTCCATTTGTTTATGGTTTATAACATTGTTGAACCTTGATGTCATTATGCTAAGTGAAAAACAAACACAAAATATTACATACTGTATGATTCCATTTATATGAAATATCCACGCAGACCAAACGCAGATTGGCAATGGAACAGGATACAGGAGATGGGGAAGTGGGGCTCGAGAAAAACTGCTTAACGGATATGAGGTTTGCTTTTGGAGTGATGAATATATTTTGGAAGTTGTCAGATATTCCCATCCTTCTCCCATAGAGCAGCTGGTAGATTTGAACCATGTACCTTTCCATTAGCAGTGCAAATTGGTCCAACGGAGCCATCATGATCCTACCAACCGTGCTATGAAAAGCAGCCACCTTTGTTCTCACCATTCCAAGTGCTTAGGTCAACTGAGTCCAAGACAGTGGTCAAAAACCATAAATCTCCACTGGGAGTCAGCTGAGACAATAGGAAGGAATAGTGTGAGGGGTACAGGTTCCTTCTGAAGGGGCAGCTGCTATCAGTGACAGCTGCCATGTTAATGCAGGATGGAATGACAGATCTTCCAAAACGGAAGTAGGCATGGAGATGTTTAAGTGGAATTTTCCCATTTTAATATCAGGGAGAACGTCAAATAAGACATATCCTTAGTCTAAGGAAAACCAAAATTGTAATGAGGACTATGGTGTTAGCTTTAAGTTGGCTTTTTTTTTAGCCATTACCTTAGCTCCCTCTGGTCTCTAGCTACCTTAACTGAAGATACATGGTCTTACAAATCATCAACAGCTGTGAGACTAGGATAAGAGAGGGAGTGCTTCCCACAAGACTTCTCACACAAGCAGCAAGAGTTGAGGGAGACTGGAGTGAGACCTTGGTGATGGTGGTAGAGATACTGTGGCATTGCTGTGAAGAAACTGGCAAGGTGCAGCCAGATGAGCCCTGGGATAAAGGCCATAGTTAAAGATTTTGCTGTTCCTTTAATGATGGAAGGAAAAACTGCTTACAGAACTGAAACCAGATACTGGACTAATTAAGGAATTGTCTTGGGACTAAAACCTGGACTTGCATTGGGGGATATTCTTTGCCTCCCCTACTCTCCAACTTCCCTAAAAAACACCACTCTCTTGCTGCTGGTGTAGCTCTAGAGACACCATGGAGCTGGGCTACTGGCTCTTTATCTGTTTTCTGTTCTAGGAAGGCAAAAGGCTGTGGTATTCTCACGCCTTCTAGCCCTTTCAGAAAGATAATCATGGCCATGTGCTTCCCATTTTCTGCTCATTAGACAAGAGCAAAGCATAACCAAGTCCTAAAATCAAGAAAAACAGACACAACCTCTTTAAGCCTTTGCTGTACTCTTTGATGTACCTGTTTAGCCTTTCCTGCAGTTTGAAACAATGGCTCACTATAGAGTTCAAAACTTAAGAGTCCAATCTAACTTAAAGCTGACCATCCACTGGGCTTCTAAGACTATAAATCCTGAGGATAAAGTGCCTGACTTTCTCCTGAGGAGCTGCTAATGGATTTGAACTACCAGAGGGAGTGCTGCCTTTGGGTTTACAGTGCAGCTCTTTACTGACTATGCCTTCAAAGTGCCATCATACAACTGGGCGGTATTAGAAAGAAAGGGCACAACTTCAAAAGGCTCTGACCCATAAAGGACAGGCTCCCAGCAGGCAAGGACCATGAGCTGGTACCATCTTGGAATCCCTGATCCCTAATGTGATGACAGTCTAGCAGAAAGCTGCATTGTGGTTAATACCTCTAATATTTTATGGTTACCACTTCTCTAAATTTCCTCATAGGACGACAGAAAGAAAATACTTTTACCACACAGATGAAATGATAAGACCTCAAATGCTGCTTGCTTATGATCCAGAGGATAAAACTTAAAACCTGATATTCAGGCTCTCATCATCCAACTGATAATCCCCTGACTGCTGCCTATTTTTGGCACGGCCTTGAGATGCCTCTGCTGTTTCTCTCTGCTGACTACTCTTCTGAGCCCAGATCATCACCTTCCTATCTTCCTCAGATCGCAGGACAGAAGTTAACATCTCTACAAGCAACTGTCTGCTCAGCACTCAAGACCGGCTGCCCTGTGTCATGATTCATGGCAGGATGTCTGCTCTGATCACATTAGAAATGTCAGTAAGCTTCAGAAAGAAACACACATTAATGCACAGGTCACCTCTGTCTCTTCTCGTGAACAGTAGTAAGCTCCTGGCAGGAAGCACCTAGTATCTCAGGCTTTCAGCATACCTGTCATAATAATCTCTGTGTCCCCTGTGGTCTCGGTCGCTGCTGTACTGGTCATAAGGTCTCTTTCTGGACATACTGTTGGGCCGGTAGCTCCCGGAGCGGTGGCTATCCATGTGTCGCCGGTCCCCGTAATGGTGGTCCTTGTACCAATGCTGCTCGTACTGATGGTGCCGGTCACTGCCCCACGGCGGGTTGTTGCTGCCACCACCGTAGCTGAACTTGCGTTCCCTCTGCCAGTCTCCTCGATCTGCGGGCAGAGAGAGAACTGTCTCAGGACTGCGAGAATTGGCTGGGATTGGCTTCCCCCACATTTACCCTGAAAGGCTGAGACACTCCCTCCTTCCCAGCCTTCTTCTTGGTGGTGGCTGGGGTCTCCCAAAGGGCAGGGACCATGAGCTGGTCCTTGCCCACTGGGAGGTACTATCTTGGGATCCCTGCTCCCTAGTGTGACTGAGAGTCTAGCAGAGAGCTGTGTAATTGAGGTTAATGCGTCTAATATTTTATAGCTACCACTTCTCTTCATTTCCCCACAAGAAAACCAACGGAAAATACTTTTGCTACTCAAATGAACTGATAAGACTCCAAATGCTGCCTCTGATCCAGAGGACAGAACTTAAAACCTGATATTCAACACCCCAATAATATGAATTCTAACATTCTTTCTCCGCAGATATGAAGACAAAATCAAGTTCGTCACCTCTTTGCTTCTGTAATGCTAACTAAGCACCACTATTTTCCCCTTTCCCTACCAGCTTACTGTCTGACCTGGGGCAGCTTTTTAAAATGAGATTTCACACAGAAACCAAGTCAAACAGCAACATAGAAAACAATATGCCTGACTTTACAGCTGCAAGACAACACCCTCCATTTATAGATCACAGGTACTTCTCTGCCGTCATGAGCTGGGCTAGATCTCTGAAAATCTTTCCCAATAATGTCTACTGACTGTAATATGCCTCCCCCCAGCACATGCTTACATATGTGCACAAGCACACACACACACGATTCTTCACATCAGATTTGGACTATCACCCTAACTCTCTTGCTGAATGACAAACTGAAATTTTCACTTCAGTAGCCTTTTTACTCCTGAGGAGAAAACTAAACAAAAATCCTGTTGCTGCCAAGTCAGTTCTGGCTCACAATGACCGTGGAGGACGGCCCCACAGAGCGAACCACCACACACGGAGCCTGGGGTCTTTGTGGAAGCAAACTGCTACAGTCGTCCCCTGCAGAGGGGGTGGTACTAGCTCAGTGTTCAAACACTGTGTCACCAGGGCTCCTTTTCTGATAAGGATTCTATTTCTTTGGATCAGAAAAGATATTAAAAGCCCAGGAGCCCAGGTATGGTGACTAAAATGAGTTAAACTGTGATACCTTCCCCTGAAAATAAAACCCACTTGGAACTTAAGCATGTGAACTGATTTGAAAACCAGGTCTCTGCAGATAGAATCATGTTAAGGATCTCAGAGATGAGCTCACCCTGGACTTGATGTGGGCCCCAAGTCAGTGACAAGGGGACCATGGTCAGAAAAAGGCAGAATGGGATTGGACACAGGTAGGAAAATGTGCCATGTGAAGATGGAGCCAGAGATGGGAATTAAGCAGCCACAAGTCAGAAAGCACAAAGCATTGCTGGCAACCAGCAGATGCTAGTAGACAAAAAACGAGAGAGAATCCTCTCTCAGAGTTTTTATAAAGAATGTGTACTAGCAACACCTTGATTTTGGACTTCCGGCCTCCAAAACTAACAGTGAGACATACTCAGAAACTACACAGCCTCATGGAAATCTATCTTCCATCTACAGTGATTATTAAAACTAGAGGCATCCCAGCAAATCAATGTCTTTTGGCTCATTTTTCTGGGTTTCTAGTACTTTCATGTACAGTCTTTGTACAGTTTAGAAAAAAGTTACTATGAAGATTATATACAGTGACTTAAACCAGTGTCTTAACATCATTTTTATTCTAGGTGGACCTGACCTGAGGACCAAGAAGTAAAATGTTTTTGGATACCTCACCTGGAAATTAATAAACAATTAATGAAATGACATTCACGCAATAAAAATATCCTTTGAAGATGGCTGCAGACAGCGTGTCGAAGTTTGTGGTACTTTGTAGAGATGCTGTTAGGTACTGTAAAGTTGACTACAATTCATAGCGACCCTATGGGAAGAAATGCTTACAACTCCAACAAGCAATCTATTTCCAGACTACATCACACTGCATTTTTTTCTTCTTGAGCCTCCTAGGAGGTAGGTCACAGGTTACAAGTATTGTTCAACTAAGATGAAAATCTAAGCTTTACAGAAGAAAGTACTAAGCTGAAGAAGAAGAGGAGTCTTTTCAAAGGATTCAGGATATAAAGTCAATAGCACAACATGAGGAACACAAGAACCATTTTAGTTATCAGGGGAATAAAAAATACGGCAATGAACACTCCACCTATTGAGAACATGGAAACACTTCCTAGTCATTAGCTTTTTTCCACAATAAGATGATAAATTAATTTTTAATTATTTAGATTTTTAAGATAAAATGGTATGGAAAATCTGAATATAAAAACCTTAGAATAGCTTGCAGCAAAACTGTTGTTGTTGTTATGTGCCATCGAGTCGTTTGCGACTCATAGCGACCCTATGCACAACAGCCCTAAACCCTGCTCTATCCTGTGCCAATCTCACTGCCTCTGACACCCCCATCCCGATTACCCCAGTCACCGAATCAATCCATCTCAGAGAGGGTCTTCCCCTCCTGCGCCATTCCTCCACCCTCCCAAGCATGATGTCCCTCTCCAAGGACCCGTCCCTCCTGGCAACATGTCCAAAGTATGTGAGACGAAGCCCCAGAATCCTTGCCTCCAAGGAGTAGCTTGGTTTAATCCTCTCCAAGATGAATCTGTTTGTTTTCCT